TCCCAATTAAAAAATATTTAAAAGAAAAAAAAACTAGCGGGGGGGAAAATGGGGGACTTCCTTTGTTTATTTTTCGTTCTTTTCTGTTTTGTCTTAAATAAACATCATTAAGTTTTTCTATTGTAAATAAAATGAGTGTTATACATTACAGTGCTTCTCGTATTCAATTTAAATCAAATAATAGATCACTTGTTGAAATACGTGCATATGATAATAATGAGTTTTCATTACGAGAACTTGATATAAACAATAATAATCGAGTAAGAAAAACAAAATTTCACATTTATGTTTTCATTTATATTTTAGGGTGTGGGTGTGGGTGTGGGTGTGTGGGTGTGGGTGTGGGTGTGGGTGTGGGGTGTGGGTGTGAGTGTGGGTGTGGGTGTGGGTGGGTGTGGGTGTGGGTGGGTGTGGGTGTGGGCGTGGGTGTGGGGGTGTGGGCGTGGGTGTGGGTGTGGATGCGGGTATCCATGCAGATATACACCCACACCCACACCCCACACCCACACACCCACACCCACACCCACCCAAACCCACACCCCACTCCCACCCGACACCCACACCCACACTCACACCCCACACCTACACCCTTCGTCGATCGCATTCTCTAGTTCATGCTATGATTTTCGATGCTTGTTTTTAATTTTCTGTTTGATAATGTTTTAGATCAGTTCAATAACGTTAAAATCAGGACTATAACCCGGTTTTAACGCAATTGATCTGATCTAGAACATGACCAAACAGAAAATTAAAAACAAGAATCGAAAATCATAGCATGAACTAGAGAATGCGATCGACGAAATTTGCACTGAGTTCTCATTAAATGTCATTCAAGCACGTATTAAGGCCACCCCCCCCCCCTCAAAAATCTATTTCAGCTCAGGAACGTCCGAATTAGATGAAACTTTCAGGATATGTTGGGGTTGGAAACAGAAGACTACCATAAAATTTTCAGCCCAAAATTTTCAGGTTTCAGGGAGATATGAACCAAAAAGGGTCAAAAATGACTCATTTGGCATCCCAAATTTTTCGGTCCTGATTCGATCAACATATTAATATTTCTTTTTTGTTGGAAAGAGCATCTCAAGGCACAGGATATGACGAGGTCGCTTTTTTTAAACAGTCCTTTTTTAAGCGCAAAAAATGGATCACAAGTTCAATGTCTCAAAAAAGTATCAAAAAATGGTAGCAAAATCATATAAATGGCTGTATATTAACCAAACAAAGGCTTAATTCAAAAAAAGGGCACGGTCATGCCCTGCGCCTTGAGATGCTCTTACAAGCAAAAAAAAAAATTTTAATACGTTGAACGAATCGGGAAGGAGAAATTTGGGATGCCTTTTTGAGAAAGTGGAAATTGAGAAAAAACGAAAAACATTTTTTGATTTTTCAAAAAACAGCTGGTTTTTCGCATAGGGGTTGACGAAAATCTTGAAAATTTTTGGGAAAAAATGAAGTAACGAGAAAAACAAATTATCGTTTATGAAAGAGCAGATGACGGGCTATCTTCCCATGCATTTATCTCAACTTTGACCATTCTGACGAAAACTAACTTTTTATGAGTGGGGGGAGTGGCCTTAAAAAGACTCAGAAAGTATATGAACAGTTTGTATCTTCATATTAAAGTTTTATATGAATTATAAACGTCTAAACTTGTACTATTTATACACATCCAAGAAAACCACTTTTGATAATATATTTTATATTTTAGATCAAAAATACCATTGACAGTGATTTTGTCGTTGGTAGAGAGGTAACAGTTCATCGATAATTTATTTTGAGATGACGCTCTACCCAATTGTTTTTAGACAGTGTTCTGATCATGCGACTGCTGCGTGATAATCTCAAGGTGAGTATTTCTACTTTTTAATGTTCTCTACATCAAACATTCATCTAAATTTTTGAATCTTCCCAGATTTGGTTTGACAATGAATATGATCTTATTGAAACGGATCAAGCAGAAGAACAGCAGTGATTTCGAGGACTATGCTCTCCTCCTACCTTTTGTTTCTTCTTTTTGTGTTATTATACTCATGTAACTATTCTATTTGACGAAAGAAACATTTCCTCCTCATCTCTTTCCATTCTTGTCATCTTTATCAAAAGCAAATCACTTTTTAATTTCATCATGCTCATAAACATAACAGTAAAAATTCAAATATGAATAAAACACTGACTACTATTACGAATAGTAACAGTAACCATGTTTAGGATGCAACTGGGTGAAAATGTCACCCATTCATGGGTATGAGTCGGTTGCTCTATTTATTTATAGTGTAAGAAATCATTCAAAAAATGTTATAAGTTTTTCGTCGAAGGTGAACTGTTACCTTGTCGAATACACATTTTTAGGCCATTGATGTCACCAATATAAGTATAACTTTCTGGAAGTTCCTCTAAACGCTTTAGAAATATGATATCCCAAATGCAGTTTTTGCCTGATTCGTTTTTCGTCATTTTCACACATATAATTTTGCTCCATGTAGCTTTTTCTTGTCTATCAACAGTCAATCGTAAGGCACGATAATTTGGCGGTGGATTATCATATTCACTCATCAAGAAAATATCGTTCAGTACAGGAGTAGAATGGCCAATTGAATAAGGAACTCTTTTGATGCACAAGAAACGAACTCGTAAGCCCAGCCATGAATATTGTGTCAAACAGGCGTTATAACTATTATCATCATAAACTTCGAACAAACATAAAATAAAAAAGTAAGATATGGCAAACATATAAGTTTACCTTTTGTAATACATTCATATCCTGATGGTGTCCCAGAAAGTTTGCTGACAATATCTATACCCGCTATAAGTGATTTTGGCAGGACGGCTCTCGGTTGTGTTTCGTGAGTTGAAAGTTGTGTATCATTGGGCATCGGTGTATTACCTGGTACAACCATTTTTAGTTGATACTGATGTAATACGGATTCAATTTTATCTTGTCGATCTTTGTCTAATAATTTATAGAGCGGCACCGTTTTCTCAATACTTATCACTCGCCAATTAAGAAAATTTTCAATTGTTGAAACCCATTTACTAGAACCTTCACACTGTAATGTATCACCACCGGTTGCCTGAAAAGTCGTATTCATTATTTGTCGATTGTCTTCGTCTCGAAATTTAGCTTCAGTTTTTTTACCTGCACCAGCATCAGCACTTGCTTCAGCTTTTATTAATATCTTAGCAGGTATAGTTACTAGGTTTACAGCTGCTCGGAATTCTTGCTTTCGTTCTTCTTTATGTTGTGTTTCATCTACTGAACCTGTTCTTTCTCGCATATCAGCATGATGCAATTGTCCTCCGATGATTAATTCAGTTGCAATGACATGTCCATAGTCTGAAAATAGTTCCTTGAATCTATCATATTGATCTTGTGTCGATGAATTTAATATTATGTCTACATCACGCAAAAATTCTGATGTTGCTTCAATATTGTGACTATCCAGTTTTATTGAAACACGCGGAAAATTCCACGTACAGGTTGTAAATAAGTTTTTCTTCGAAGAGTTACGAGCCATTTTTTCATTTTTCTCATAATTATCAGAAAAAGAAACAAACGGACATGAAAAGCTCTTTTCAATGTCATTGAATTTATATTCCACAAATAATTTGCTTCGTTCAGTGTAAGTTAAACGTGCATCGATACTTGAAGAATCACAAACGACAGTTTTTGGTTTTGTATTATCTTTCAATCGAATAGCTGATTCATGACTATACTTCGGTTTTAATCCGTCGATAAATAATGCTTTACCGAGATTACATGTTTCAAATATATATTTCCAATGTTCGATTGTTAATTGTGAAGCATTTTTCATTTCACTTGACGACAATATCATAAACGGCGAACTAAGAGTTGTTAATGGTTGTGATTCAATAGTAGAACGAGCGACAACATCTGGAGTAATTGTCGATTGATTTTTCCTTAAATAGGATAAATCCGGAGTTGCAATAGATGAACAACAATCTTGTAATGTATTGGTGTCTGATAAGAGTTTCGTTTCCACATTTTGGTCTGAATAAAAAACGGCACTCATTTCAATCGTAAAATGTACATTCGAGATTTATTATCCAAGGTATACATAAAAATTTTAAGAACTTTTCATTACCTTTAGTAATAGTATTGTTTTCTCTCATGTTATGTTGCCTTTTGCCACGTAGTCCTTTCAGGCATAACATCTTGAAAAAAGACCAGTTTTCATGTGTTGAATAACCGGCGAATGTGAAACGATATGTAGATGCGATCTTGACTACAACGCCGGACACACTTTGGTACATATATCTATATCTAATCCAAGACTTCAATCGAACTTCGATACATGTTCCTATTTCTTTACTATTCGTTTAAGAAATATGAGAGTATGAATGGAAATATTTTCAATACGAACTGCCTATATTAAATATTAGAATTTAAAGAAGTTTTATCGATTACTTGAGTCATGAATCCGCAAAGCTTAGATAAAGATATATTTGTCTCTGGAGTTTTTAAAGAATATGCTTGTGACAACAGTCTACCGGGTGGATCAAAAGTAACCGGACAAATAATTTTTTCGCTTTTTTTTTTCTTTATATGTCGACAGTTATATCTCATATTTATACCACATACACTGGATGATACTAGCCAGTGATATGCCATATGATCAGCCTTTGGGCGTAGTAATTTATTTCAAAATATATAAATATGTCTTAATTGCTCTTATGTGACTATATAAGAGATTCGATGTTTTTCGTGTTACATTCGATTCGGTTACATTTTGAACTTCTTGAGACTAAAAGGATACAAAAATTAAATTGAATCGAATTTGTTTCTCAGATTGGAATATGCAGACAAATATATGAAAATCGAATGTAACACGAAAAACATCGAATCTCTTATATAGTCACATAAGAGCAATTAAGACATATTGATATGCTTTGGAACAAATTACTACACCCAGAGGCTGATTGTATGCCGCATCTCTGACTAGTATCACTTAGTATATGTGGTATAAATATGAGATGTAACTGTCGATGTATAAATAAAAAAAAATGGAAAAAATTATTTGTCCTGTTACTTTTGGCCCACTCGATATATGCTTTCGCATTCATATAATTACGTTACCCCTTTTGGTGTGGACATAGAAATCCTTCGTTATTCACACATATACGTTTCCTCATCTTTGGATTACCCTTCGTTCTTATTGTAAACGGATGTAGTATGAAGCGATCGTTATTACATAATAGGATAGTTTGGTTAGCATCATTTTAGTGTGGCAGCACGTAAGAGGAAACTACGCAATCAGTGTCATAAATTCATCGTCAAATCAAATATTAGGGTTATCGATTGCCAGAAGCGCTCCCCAATCATGGTATCAATCTATATATCGTGAGGCTCATTCTTTTGAGTGCGCACACTTCTTTCTCTTGTAATAAAATAAAACATAGAATGAGATCGAGGAAGAAAGAGTGAGATATAAAAGGGCTGGAAGAATAGTAGAACGGGGAGCATTCGTGGAAGAGAGTAACTCATAGGTAGAACAGTGGGAAAGAGGAAGCATTCGGAGCAAGGACGTTCTGATTAGAGATATTAGAGAGAAGATACAAGTTTATACAGTGGAATTATTGTATTAATATTATTGTGTACTTGTGTATGTGTTTCAACTTCTTCTCTATTGCGTGTGTTTCAGCATATTATTTATCGTGTGGGCTCGTAACTTTATTTACATAAACATCAGTGAATCTGTAACGTTATATTTTATCTCATTCATCGATCAACCTATCAACTCTTGACAATAAAATATTTCGTTACAGTGCTGTTTTGCACTATCAAAACATCAAGCTATTACTAATTTAGACAAAAAACATAAAGTAAGCAGATTGATTCTTCATGATACATGGTAAAGTTCAATTGAATTGATCAATACTTGATGGAAATACGAATGTGCTCTACTCACCTTCGAACTATTCATAAAATTATTTTTGACAAAATGTCGAACGAATTTATACACGAAAATTGAGTCATACTGTTAATACTACCTTTTTACTAAGAAGGGGTAAAAACCAAATGACAGCAAAACAACAAAGATAAAGAATGTCGTGAGCATCGTTTCTAAACATTGTTATCTGAATGACGTGGGTAAACTAACGAAATGACTCAATATTTATCGACGAATACGATTCGTTAAATGGGAGAAGAAAAGAGTGAGTAATAAAACATGTGTGTCTTATTGAAAAGTATTACTAAATAAATTTTTTAAGAACTCATCATAAGCAAAATGAAGACTTTCGATTATTTTGCACAAATTATAATAGAAAGAAAACCAGATCAATCTTATTCAATTATTTACACTTCTCGTGTGTTAATTTTTCTTTGTACTTGAAAATTTATTTTCTACTTCGTGCTCAAAAATATGACTTAAAGTCAATATACTAATAATAACATTCGATTTACACACGTCTAGGATATGTATCATACAAAAACGAAATGTCTATGTGTGAAAATCATTCTTTTTCGCTGAATTATATTTGACAAATTTCATACAATTCATTTTATAATCTCAAACAAGATTGTTACGTTGTTTTTGTGTTCCATTTATTCGAGAAGTTTACCAAAGTCTGCAGAAGTTTTTGTCGCTATATTCAGCGATGTGTGCTGGATAACTATCATAGTAAGACAAAAACATCTAAACGTTGAAAATAAAACGTAAATTTGTTTTATATCTTTCATGCATATAGTAGCTTAGATGAAGATAAGAACATAGCAGGGTGTGGGGTGTGGGTGTGGGTGTGGGTGGCTGTAGGTGCGGGTGTAGGTGTGTGTAGGTGTGGGTGGATGTGAGTGTGAGTGTGGATGCGTGTGGATGTAGGTGTGGAGTGTGGGTGTGGGTGTGGGTATGGGTATGGGTGTGGAGTGTGGGCGTGATAGTTACACTACGTTCATCGGCACGTACACACCCGCACACATACTCTCGCCCCCACACCCACACCCTTATTTATATTTCAAATAGATATAATGTATGATCATTTATGTTTATTTTTGAACATAAATTATAAAAGAAAATTTATTTATATTTAGAAAGGGGGGAACGGCGGACTTTTGGACTTGAAGTTACTTTGAGTTACCTTAAGCTACTTCAAGTTACTTTCAGCTACTTCAAGTAGCTTACTTTGAAGTATTTTTCAACTTCAAATTTACCTGAAGTTACTTCAAGTTACTTCAAGCTACTTGTTCCTACTTTGGGCTACTTGGGTGGTACTTTGAGCTACTTCAAGTAGTCTACTTTGACGTACTTTTCTACTTCAAGTCCGCCGTTTCCCCCTTGATATTTAGCAATAAATATAAATTATGAAAACAACATATTTATATTTATTTTAAGGGTGGGTGTGGGTGTGGGTGTGGTGTGGGTGTGGGTGTGGGTGTGGGTGTGGTGTGGGTGTGGGTGAGTGTGGGTGTGGGTGGGTGTGTGGGTGGGTGTGGGTGTGGGTGTGGGTGTGGGTGTGGGTGTGGGTGTGGGTGTGGGTGTGGGTGTGAGTGTGGGCGTGGGTATAGGTGTGGGTATGGAAGTGAAGGAAGAGCCACTCACACCCTCATATCAACACCTACACCCACACCCACACGCCCGCACCCACACACACCCACACCCACACACCCACACACACCCGCACCCACACACACCCGCACCCACACCCAGATACACACCCACCCCCACCCCCACACCACCTCACACCCACACCCACACCC